TAATAAATACAGAATTACAATAACATGTTGAGAGGAGAGAGAATCTTGGACCTGGTCCAAGGGCAAGCCCTAATTGGCAAAATACAGGGAGACTTTGACTGACATGTTAATTGATAAAAGAAAATGAAGTCAATGTCAGCCGTACAGTTTTTTTGGCCAAAAATTAAGAAAAATGTCAGCCGTACATGCTATGGAAAGAAAACCACAAAGTAATGCTCATTTTTTTTATTTTTCTTTATCTTTTTTAATTTAAAAAAATGTCAGTAGTAGTTGGAACTCTAATTGGCTGCCTGTTATCGTGACCACGTGATGTGGTTTCATTGTCTTGAGATTATAATTTGTTTAATAAAGATTTTGTGACAAAAAAAAAAAAAAATATTGGTTGAAAATTCTTTGGAATAAATAATTAATTCAGTTCCTACTTCAATTTTGTTTTTTTTTTTCCTTTGTTCATTATATAGAAAAAAACAGACTTTTTTTAATCAATTGGCAGTTTCATAAGCAAAAATTAATTGTTTTTAGAAAAATTTTATTATATAATTTAAAATTGTCATTATTAGAAAATTCTATTTTAATACCATATTCGATTCAAGCATTAATGCTATGTGTTGTAAATTAAAAAAGAAAAAAGAAAAACAAAACAGATTTTCAATTTAGATACACATTTTTGGTTACTTAATTATATCATCAAGCAAATAGGGCTGTGTTTCGATTAGTTCAGGTGCTAATAGTCTGTTTTGCTTAATTCATTTCCATAATTTTTTTAAAAAAAATTCAATTGAATTTTGCATTTTGATTGTTTGGCTCACAAAAAATTTCAAAATTCAACAATTACAATTTGAAAATTATAAAATATTGGCATTTCTATATGTTAATTAGCATTAGATTTTTAAACTCGAAGCCTTTAGTTGCCAAATAGTTAATCGCTAACCGTTAGGTTAGGTGTTAACCACATAGGGAAAGAGAAAATAAGATGACCTTTTGATTTCTTTAGTTATATGTCAATTTTATAACTTCACAGCTTTAGCATTTGGTTTTTAAATCACTAGTCTCCAATTGCCAAATAGTTACTAATCGTCAGCTGTTAACCTAATAATCAAAGAGAATATGATTTCTTTAACTAGTTGCTTCTATTGATATCTTTATAGCTTTCAGTAATGTTTGAATCTAAAACCACTGAGTAGTTATCAAATAGCTAATAGTCAACCATTGATGATTGACTTTTTAATTTCTTTAATTAGTTGTATCCATTGATATCTTTGTAGGTTTCGCAAATATATAAACTTTAAATTGCTAGCCGCTAATTGTCAAATAATTAACTGCGAGTAGCTAACTATAAATAGAATGATGTTTTTGTGGGTTGATACATCAATAGCTGTTATAAGATTGTAGATGCTTACCCAAAAATGCATTTCATTTGAAGCTTCAATAATTTTTAGATTGTTTTATTTTCTTGGGTCTTCTAAACGGTACAACGTTGTTTGAATCAATAGAGAGACTTTTGTTCTATGTATGTACGAATTGATATAATGCTAGTATTGGCAATTAAAATAAAAATGGTAGCTTTAGTTTTGGTGGGATGAGACAAAAGTTTGATAACAACAACATTCTTATTATATTTGATAATGGAATCAAGATTCTGCACTGCCTACAGGTTTAAAATAGAAAGTGTTCACACCAGGAGTTCCATTTTAATATTTCAAATGATAAACTTGGGATTTGCTTTTTTTTTCTTTTCTTTTTTTTTTTTTTATGTGAAAAAAAACAACTGGGTAGGGATTAAAATAGAAAGTGTTCACACCAGGAGCTCCATTTTTAAGTGTTTAGAAGCAATTATCAGGATTTTTTTCCATCTCTCCTACACTTTATATATATTTATTAAAGTGTAGGAGAGATGAAAATTCTGATAATTGCTTTGCTTAATGAAATTTCCAAGCTGTAAAGATCACTGTTATTGTCCCCAAATGCTTCTGTGAGGCATTGCAGCTTCACTCCCCAAATAGATTAGTAGTATTTTACACCTCAATTTTCCGAATTTTTCTTTTAAATTTTTTAGGGATTGATTTATCTAGATCCAGTTTATGGATCCGCAGATCAAATCAATAAAAAATAATATTTTATAAAGCAAGGGCATTTTAACTATTCATGGGAAAAAAAATGGAAACAATATTTATAAAAACATTGTAATTTTAATATATTGCAATAATTAACATTTTAAACTTAACACACTTGGATTTTTAAAATTTTAATATTTAAATGTACTTTAATCTCTAAAATTATTTATTATATATTATTTCTATAATATATATTTTTCCTGTTTATATTAGTTTTCACTATAAAAATATAGAGAAATATGATAATTTTTTTTGCTTTATTCCTTTTTGATTCAAAAGTATTCTCTAATTGGCTTTTGTTTGTGTATGGAAAGTAAAAGATAATTGATAGAATAATAAAATTAGAGGCTTTTTTTTTGAAAATAAATATTCATTTTGAAATTAATATTATTCATTATTTGATAGAACAAATATAGATCTTATTGTTACACATTTAAATAAATTGGGAATACAAAGTGTAATGATGGTGATAATTTCGATTTGATGGATTAGATTAGGCCCAATGGCAAACATGTTTATATATGGTGGGCCGACGTAGGTCCAATTATGATCAGGTTTTATATGGGCGTAATCTCATCGGAGCTTCAAGCCTTAGAAAAGATTCCATAAGTGCAGGAAGGAAAGATTCCATATAAAACACAAATTTGGAAATGCTAAAAAGTTAGTGAATCTCTCGTACACAAGCCAATCAAAGTCAAAATTAAAAAAAGAAATATATATATAAATATATATTATTTCCTTCTTTTTTCCCCCAATATATAATCATAAATTAAAACATTATTTATTATTAGTTTGGTGTATAAACGAACGTTCATACATTGAGTGTAGATAAGTCTTTTCCTACTTGCTAATCACCGAAAAAAAAAACACAATTTGACTTACTCTAATAGACTCTGCCGGTTAATATATTATGTGTGAAGTTTAATGTTTTAACAGTTGCATTAGCTGAAGATCACAATTATTATAAAAATTAAAATACAAAACATTAATTGATAAATTTTTTTAAAAATAGTTAGAATTATAAATAGGTAAAAAAAAAAAAAAAAAATCAAATTTGTCATTATATGTACTCACACGGATACAACAAAGGGTATAATCAATGGCAGTGGATCCAAGCATTAAAATGGTAGGAAAACATAAAATAAATTTCACGAAGAAGGACAACATAGTAACTGGCGGCAATTACATTGATATAAAATGCTTTGTTTACTTATTTGTCCTTTCCATGGCAAGTGGAACTTATTATTTAATCCATTGGGATGTATTAATAAAATCAATTAAGTTGCTAATCTCAAGTATTTGCACTGTTAACAAATGGATTTACTATCTATTTTCTTCAATGAATCCTTTTTAGTCTTGACTTGAATAATAGGAGCATCCTTTCTATTATGTTAAATTTGATAGTTTTTGATTTTCATAAAATAAAATAAAATTTAATATAAATATTTAGATAACGGTAAAATTATTATTTGATAATTTTGTATTTTCATAAAAATAAAACAAGGTTTAATGCAGGTATCTAGATAAAAAAAATTATAATCAAATAAGTAATACTATTTTGATTCTTTAAAAGTGCATCCCAATTTAAAAAAAACAAAAGTGCATCCAAATGCAATAATTAAAAAGTTAAAAAAGGTCAAATTTAACGGAAGGAAAGGAGAAAATTTACCTAGACACAGCCTATGATCCACCCATGCACCAAATAAATGAAAATATATTTTTTTTTTAAAAAAAATTGTTCTACATTACCCTTTTTTTTTTTATCTTTTCTAGTAAATGATCAGAAATACCCTTATTTAAAAAAATATTTTTTATTGGTTTGGTCTATCGATCGACCCATAAACCAGGTCTAGGCTCTGAATAATATACCATTAACTTAACAGGGAAAACATATCAATCTATACAACTGAATGATTATTTGTATTGTCATAGGGATTATCTACGGAACTTGTTAATTATTTGAAACAGAAAAGGCTAATAAAGCCAAATCCTGCTACCAATGTGCACAGCTAAGCCATTTCTTTACAATCAGCAATTATATCCATATGGGCATAGTTCATTTGTCTTGTTAGGATCTTGGATTCTACAGTTGCAGGTCCATGCTTATTTTTTCTTGCTTGATCTGTAGAAGAAATTAGTCTCTAGAATTAAGAGACATTGCAAAATGTTTGTTTCAGGTCTGAAATCAGAGAAAGAATAATGAAATTATGTAAGTGTTAGAAAAAATTATTGAAAATAAATAATAAACTCAAGTTAGATAAATATTCAATCATTGAAATCAAACTAATGAACTTTGCTGCTCAATGGTAACAGAGTTGTCTTTGGTACCCTTAGGTTTGTTCGGACTCCTTCACAGCTAAATTATGAATAAAGTTAGTAAGGTAAGCTTACTCGGACTTCAGTCAACCAATGCTAAAATATTAGTACTAACAAATTAGTTAGTTAACTTTCTATCCTTATAGCAAAATTTTAATCCAACCAAGGTAAATTGTTTTCTTTTCTTATTTGTTTATTCATTTAATTAGTTATATTTCCAACAAATTAATTTGAAAGAGTAATCCACTGATAAGTATTGGAGTGAATGGTTCAGTACTCTTCTTCGAGATCGAGAGTTCGATCCTTATAAATAAAGCAAATATTTGTTTGGAGCATTTTATCCCTTAGTAGGCAGATCCGGTGCCAGCAAGGAATAATCTATATGCCATTTGATCAAGCCGGATTTGGTGCCTTTACATATATAAAACATATAGGCTATCCCAAAAACGTTCACTTTGGTGCTACAACGCTTGACAGTAAAGAATTCCTTGTGTACGTTCCAATATATGTAACAATTAACAGGAATTTATAAAACCATGCTAAAATCTCCCCTTCTTCCAAATCCTAGACATGGATGTTTTCTGCTATTCCTGGAATTCCCAAAACAATTTACCAAACATCTATTTTCTTCTCTACATTTCGATTTTCTTGTTCTTTACCACTTCTAAAGCATTTGCAGCTCCATTAAGCTTCAACTTTCCTAGCTTTGATTCTAATCATCCAGAAATTTACACAGAACGAAATGCTAGTGTCAGCAGTGAAGGAATTGAACTAACCACAAACATGCGGGATTTAGATCAAAGTGGAAGTGTTGGTCGAGCCACATACATAAAACCTCTGCATCTCTGGGATAAGGCATCAGGAAACCTCACCAACTTCACTACCCATTTCTCCTTTATCATTAATTCAAAAGGAAAATCAAACTATGGAGATGGGCTAGCATTTTTTCTCGCTCCAAATGGCTCGAGAGTTCCTTCAAATGTAAAAGCCGGTGGTGGTCTTGGTTTAGTCATCGATGACAATTCCACTCATGCGCTAAATTACTCCGAAAATCAGTTTGTTGCTGTGGAATTTGATACATATCAAAATGAATGGGATCGGCCGATGTTTGATCATGTAGGTATCAATATAAGGTCCATGAAATCTGTTGCTACTGTGACATGGGCAAACTGTGTAAAATATGGGAGAACTACAGATGCTTTGATTACTTACGATGCAAGCCAGAAAATTTTGGATGTCATATTCTCTCAAGCTAACGATTTTGGAAATGAAGTTATTCAGAACTATCTATCAGCTAGAGTTGATATGGCTAAACATTTACCTGAATGGGTGACTTTCGGCTTCTCTGCTAGTACTGGACTTTCATATGAGATCAACAGAATTACATCATGGGGGTTCAATTCAAGTTCCGAAATTCTAGATGACGAAAATGCAAGCTTGCCAAGTAATATTGCACCTGCACCTGCACCTCCACCAGCAAAAATTCCACAAATTTATAAAGCAAGTAGAGGTAAAGCAGGAAAGCTTGCAGGCTTGAGTGTGGCAGCATGTACTTTGATCATTATTGCTGTGGGTTTCGTTTCATATCATTTGAGGAAGAAGAGAAAACAAGTAAAAACCTGTGATCCTACTTTTGATGTTTCTTTAGAAGATGGTTTCAATAATGGGACAGGACCAAGAAAATTTTCATATAATGAATTGGCAAATGCGACAACTAATTTTTCGGAGGGAGAGAAGCTTGGTGAAGGAGGATTTGGTGCAGTTTATAGAGGTTTCCTGAAAGAACTCGATTCTTATGTTGCTGTTAAAAGGGTATCAAGGGGATCTAAACAAGGCATTAAAGAATACATTGCAGAAGTGAAAATCATTAGCAAAATGAGGCACCGGAATTTGGTGAAGCTTTTTGGTTGGTGCCATGAAAGAGAACTACTACTTGCATATGAGTTCATGCCTAATGGAAGCCTAGATTCCCACCTGTTCAACGTCAAAAGCTTGTTGACGTGGGAGGTGAGGTATAGAATTGCTCAAGGATTAGCCTCTGCGGTGCTATATCTACACGAAGAAGGCGATCAATGCGTTCTTCATAGAGATATCAAATCAAGCAACATAATGTTGGATTCTAATTTTAATGCAAAACTTGGGGATTTTGGATTAGCTAGGCTCGTTGACCATGCAAAAGGGTTTCAAACAACAGTTTTAGCAGGAACTATGGGTTACATGGCTCCTGAATGTTTCACATCAGGAAAAGCTAGCAAAGAATCTGACATATACAGTTTCGGAATTGTTGCTTTGGAAATAGCCTGCGGAAGAAGAGTTGTTGAACCAAGACTTGAAGAAAACCAAGCAAGAATTGTTGAATGGGTGTGGGAATTATATGGAATGGGGAAAATACTTGAAGCTACTGATCCAAAACTATGTGGAGATTTCAATGAACAAGAAATAGAGAGATTGTTAATTGTTGGTCTTTGGTGTGTTCATCCTGACTGCAAATTTCGTCCTACAGTAAGGCAAGTAATTAATCTGCTGCTTACTTCTGAGGCTCCTCTGCCTATCCTTCCACCTGAAATGCCTGTGCCAACTTATCTTGCTCCTCCATCTACACCAAAATTAGCATCACCCATTTTATCTGATGATTCTACCAGCAGCAATGGACGGCTAAGCTATACAACTGATTCCTCAGACACTCTCATCAATTGCTAGAGCATCATCTCCTCCTGTATCAATGTTGTTGAACAATTTGTAAGGCTATGATGTAAAATTGCGTGTAATGCAATGTTATGAAATGATTTTTCTTTTTTGTTTATTGTTTTTATTTGATTACATCCTATTATATTCTACCAAACACAGCCAAAAATATTCATTCTTAAATTAATTCTCAGAGATTTTCATGTGCATTGCAACAGTTTTTTCTGGATATTAGATTTTGCGCACCCAGTTGAGAATTTTGTTTAATACAATTCATGAGTACTATTACAATCAATATTTTCAGTAAAATTGTTAAGAATTCCACATCGACTAAATAACAAATCTATAAACTTATAGGTTGTGATTCAGTTGACAATGCAGATTAGGCATATGGAAAAAGTTTTCGGGTTCGATCTCCACTAAATATACTTGCAAGGAGGGGCGAAGAGCCTTAAGTGTAACTAAGTCCCGAGTCGAATTAGGCGGTCCCTGATAACAGGGTCCAGATACCGATAGTTTACATAAAAAAAAAAAAATCCATAATGGCATATAAAGGTGCCAAACTAGCTAACTAATTAATCGTTTATTACTGTATTTTTTAGTTTTGGTTTGGGCAAACCCAAGTAAGCACACACCACAATTTCTATTTTTTTTACACTTTTTCTCATATTTAATGATAAAATTTTAAAATATATATGTTTTATAATTTTTTAAACATTTGCATATTCTTATAAATTATCTATTTTAATATTTTTTTCATTGATTTTTAATATTACAATCAAATAAAAAAAATTTTCTGGGAAATATTTTTCGAATAAAACAAAAGAAAACATTTTCCTGGAAAAATGAAAGATAAGTCGTGAGAATAACCAACGACAATTCCGCTGTCAAAACCGACATGACGTTCAACGACAGGGTCAAACATTTGCCCGCTGTACTTAAAAATGTCATTGACGCCAATTGCCATATATTTTACTTTTTCCTTTTTTTTTTTTTTTTTAATCCAGAATATCTGATTAACAAATGACAAAACGACGCAGAATATTAAGCCATTGCCAGCGGTTTCTCCACGGAGAGACCAAAGCAAACATTCTGTTATCCCTTAAAGGAAAATAAAAAATTAAAAACTTGCCGGCCCCCTACACATCGTATTTCAAATGTCTAATTTAATTTAGAGCTATAGACAAACCAAGACTGCAAATCAATTCACAATTTCTTGTTTTTTTTTTTTTTTTCAAGAATGAAGCAATATAAATGTAAAAGAACTCGAATTAGAATCCATAGCAATGGGTAATCTTCTTATTATTTTCTTGAACTCTCAACCCAATACTCATTTTCTTCTCAGTCTATTCATAATCATTTTCTCGTTCCCCACATTACTCAAATCCTCATCTGCTTCAACTCCATTGAACTTCAGCTACCCCATCTTTGATTCAAACCATCCTGATATTCTCACAGAAGGAAATACTAGTGTAAGCAACGTTGGAATTGAACTTACTATGAACTTAAGTGACCAGAAAAAAGGAGGTAGCATTGGTCGAGCCACATATAAGAAACCACTGCACCTTTGGGATAAGGCATCAGGAAATCTAACCAACTTCACAACCCATTTTTCTGTTTTTATTGACTCAGGAACAAGATCTTTGTATGGAGATGGATTAGCGTTTTTTCTAGCTCCAAATGGTTCAACAATTCCTCCTGATACAAAATCTGGAGGTGGTCTTTGTCTTGCCATCAATGATAGTCTTGCACTGGACTTTCATGAGAATAACTTTGTTGCTGTTGAGTTTGATACCTATTCGAATCCTTGGGATCCGTCGACTAATCATATAGGTATCAATATCAGGTCCATGAAATCTATTACTACTGTTTCTTGGCCAAGTAATAAAATAGAAGGGAAAAGAACAGATGCTTGGATTAGCTATGATTCAAGCCGGAAAATTTTGGATGTCGAATACACATATATTGATGGAATTAGCAGTTCCAGAATTAATGGCTCCTTATCAGCTGTAGTTGATTTGGGTAAGTACTTACCTGAATGGGTTACTTTTGGCTTTTCTGGTAGTACTGGATCTTTATATCAGATAAACAGAATTACATCATGGGCGTTTGATTCAAGTTCAGACATTGTAGATAATTTTAGTAGCTTGAATCTCGAGCCAGCTCCAAGTCCGGTACTTTCAGAAAGTAAAACTATTAATAATGGACTTATGGCAGGCTTGATTGTTGGTGGAGTAGTAGTATGTATTTTGATTCTTGGTGGCGGTTTCTTTTTGTTTGTTTCAAAGAGAAAACAAAGGAAACAAACGAAAACTAATGATCATGTCTTTGATGTATCATTTGATGATGATTTCAGGAATGGGACAGGACCAAGAAAGTTTGCTTACAATGAATTAGCTAATGTGACAAAGAACTTTTCAGAGAGTGAAAAGCTTGGAGAAGGAGGATTTGGTGCAGTTTATAAAGGTTTCTTGAAGGATATGAACTCTTTTATTGCTGTTAAGAAAGTATCAAGTGGATCTAAACAAGGAATCAAAGAGTATGCAGCAGAGGTTAAAATTATTAGCAGAATGAGGCATAGGAATTTAGTCAAGCTTATCGGTTGGTGCCATGAAAAAGAACTACTGCTTGCATATGAGCTAATGCCAAATGGAAGCCTTGATTCTCATCTTTTTAAAGGAAAAAGCTTGTTGACATGGGAATTGAGGTACAAAATAGCACAAGGATTGGCTTTAGCATTACTATATCTACACGAAGAAGGTGATCAATGCGTGCTTCATAGGGATATTAAGTCAAGCAACATTATGTTAGATTCAAATTTTGAAGCTAAATTGGGAGATTTTGGGTTAGCTCGGCTTGTTGACCATAGTAAAGGATCTCAAACTACAATTTTAGCAGGAACAATGGGATACATGGCTCCAGAATGTTTCACATCAGGAAAGGCAAGTAAAGAATCTGATATATACAGTTTTGGAGTAGTTTGTTTGGAAATAGCTTGTGGAAGAAGAGTTGTTGAACCAAGCCTTGAAGAAAACAAAACAAGAATAGTTGAATGGGTTTGGGAATTGTATGGAATGGGAAAAAAACTTGAAGCTGCTGATAAAAAATTATTTGGAAATTTCAATGAACAAGAAATGGAGCGATTGCTAATTGTTGGATTATGGTGTGTGCATCCTGATAAAGCATTTCGTCCTTCAATAAGGCAGGTGATTAATGTGCTACTTACTTTTGACTCTCCTCTGCCTATCCTTCCATCAGAAATGCCTGTTCCAGCTTATCTTACACCTCCAATGAAATTGTCCATGTCATTCCTCATGTCATCCTGTGGTTCTACTACAAGCAACAATGTGCCAATAAGCAATTCAATGACATCATCTTCTGCAGCATCATCATCTCCTTCTATGGCACTCTTGTTAGACACGCGGTAAATTCAGTTTTAGTATATTCCTGAAGAATTTTCCATATAGTTTGTTTTTATTTATTTATTTTTTGTTATTTCAGTTTAGACGAATTGATAAGATAGCCTGGCAATAACTTTTGAATTAATTTTTAACATTTTGATTAAGTCAAAAATTCATCTTTATTAATTTATTAATTGTAAGGTTTGATAACATAGCTTTTATAATAGTTTTTAGAGAGATTGAGGGATTTTTTTTTATCAGCAAAATAAAATAATTTTATTAAAAATTCAGAAAAAACTTATCAAACTCCAGCAATAATCCCAAGTCAATAGACTCCAGAAGCCTATTCTTGAGATAAGAACAAAGAAGTCTTGTGTAATGATATAATATAGACAAAAGTTCTTGAAATTATAAACTATTATACCTGATACATTTAACTTTTAATTAAATTTTTTTTTGACAATCATACTTATTGTTTTTTTCTCCGAATCAATTAATTAAATAACTAATTTCCTTTTTGTTATTTTAAATTAAATAACTAATTTAAATCACTGTATAAATAGCTTGAAAAAGCTTCAAAGATGCACATCGTACTCCGTGCATTTATTCAGGAATTAACTTGTAGATGCTGGCTCCAAGAATCCAATCGAGGGTTTTCATGTATTTCAATTTTCCTAATTAGTGGGAACTAAATTTTCAAATAAGTCTTCAATTTACTAGTTTAGTTCATGAATCCCTGTTCATTTGGGTTTGTAATACAGAGATTGTCATTTTTTATCTCCTTCTCCCTGGCAGTTGCAATTATCTTTTTGTGGATGTGAATATTTTTGTGTGTAATTAATTTATATCTGTATTGTAAATATAAATTCAAATACTGTTGTTTTCCTTTCATCACTTTCTCTTTGTCATTTATGTATTTAGCATACTCTGCTTGTTAAACTATTGGATTTTGGTTGGGACTTATTTTTATTATTGCTAACATACATGACCTCTGCTCGGGACGATAGTCTCCAATTCTGCAACCATCAATCTTCTGTAAATTACTAACATAGAGATATGGAATTGATTTAGCTAAACAGCACAACATTACTCAGAATGTTCAAATTGATCATCAATTTTTTTTTATTGGCAAAATAAATTTATTTTATTAATTTAAATCCAGGAAAAACTTAGTTTATTCAAGAAACTATACCCGAATTGGACAAGCTAAGTAAAAAAACCACAACATACATAGAAGAGAAGGTTACATTGAAGAGTAAGAACCTTCTCTTGTCTCATAAATAATACAAAGGTTATGGCAAGTGTTAATTCTTGTGCTATCCTTTCTTGAATTGCTAACATTGATGCTGCTATATGCCACGTTGATCTAATAAAAGCAAGCCAAAACCTGAGAGAGCCAAGGAACAAACCAAAAAAACACCATCCTACAAAACCAGAATGGACAGCAAAAATTAATTCTGATTATAAACATAGACAACTCAAAGACTGAGTTTTAGACTTACTATGAAATGCTATGATCACTTAGAGACAATGACAATGAAGAAGCCTTCACTACAGGGGAAGAATATGTAGGCACAGGCATTTTTAATGGAAGAACCGGCAATGAAGCTTCAAAATTGAGAACTTGAATTGCTTGCCTAATAGAAGGTCTTAATTTTGCATCTGGATGAGCACACCAGATCCCAACAACCATTAAACATTCCAATTGTTGCTCATCAAAATCTCCATTTAGTCTTGGATCAGCACCTTCAAGTAACTTCACATTTCCTCCTCGATATAGATCCCAAACCCATTGCACCATAGAAATCTGATCTTCGTTTCCTTTTAGATTAAGCGGTTTTTTTCCACAAGCAATTTCCAGCGCGACGATTCCGAAACTGTAGACATCTGATTCTTTACTAGCTTTGCCTGTAATGACATATTCTGGTGCCATATAACCTAAAGTCCCTGCCAAAAGTGTAGTTTGAAAACCTTTGTTATGGTCTACAAGTCTTGCCAAACCAAAATCTCCAAGTTTTGCATTAAAATTTGAATCTAACATAATATTACTTGATTTGATATCTCTATGAACCACTAATTGCTGGCATTCTTCTTGTAAGTATAGTAATCCTGAAGCCAACCCTAAAACAATATTATACCTCATTTCCCATGTCAATAATTTATTTTCTTTAAAAAGATGGGAATCCAAGCTTCCATTAGGCATGAGTTCATAAACAAGTAATAATTCTCTTTTTTCATGGCACCAACCTATAAGCTGCACTAAATTTCTATGCCTCAACTGACTAATTACCTTTACTTCTGATGCATATTCCCTTATTCCTTGTTTGGAACCACTTGATATTCTCTTTACTGCAACAAACAAATCTAGTTCCTTAAAAAATCCTCTATAAACTGCACCAAACCCTCCTTCTCCAAGCTTTTCTTGCTCTGAGAAGTTATTAGTTGCGCGAACCAAATCATTGTAAGAGAACTTTCGCGGGCCGGTACCTTTCTCGAAATCATCATCCATTGATAAATTAGAGATAACTTCATTGCCCTTTTCCTCTCTACTCTTTTTCCATAAGAAAAAATATAACCAACTTAATATCACACCAACAAAAACACATACACCAACCCCTAGCCCTATCACAAGTCCTGTAACTTTGTTTGACCTATTTGTTGATTTATCATTTCTGGGTACATCAATTATTTTTGGTGTATTTTCTGTTGGTGCTTTATCTTTTGGCTTGTCATTTTCTTCCAGACTTGAAGTAAAAGACCATGAATAAAGAGTATGCATTTCAGAAGACCATCCAGTGGCAGCTGAAAACCCTACTGTTACCCATTCAGGTAAGTAATCTCTTAAATCAACATCATAACTAAGATTTTGCTCAATTACATTATTGCTACTGCCAAATCCAGTAAAAGTAACAGTTAATCTTTTTAGGGTAGACTCATATCTAACTGAAGCAAAAACTTTTTTACCATCTTGTATGTTACTTAACCAAGCTGTAGTAATATTAGACCTTACAGAATTAATATCAATACCTACATGTTGATAAGGCGGATCCCAAATGTTAGGAAAAGTATCAAATTCTACTGCAAGAAATGGATATTTAGACGTCTGATTTTCTCTAGCAAGAGCCAGACCACCGCCTGCGAAATTGTCAAGAGGGAAATGCACTGGCGAAAGAAAGAAAGTCATCCCGTCTCCATAATTTGCAAGATTTTGCGAATCTATTGAAAAAGAAAAGGTTGTGTAGAAGTCAGTGAGATTTCTTGAACTTTTGTTCCAAAGATAAACTGGTTTACAGTATGTAACTCGACCAAGATTGCTAATGCTAGAAATATTTTCGGTGAGATGGATGGCTTTTTCAGACACAGAAGCATTTCCTTGGTAGTTTAGGCAGCGGCAATTTGGTTTGAACCTGGAAAAATTGAAAGTTAGGGAAGTTGTATGAGTTATTATGAGAAAGAAAAGGATTATTTGGAAATTCAGAGTCATTTTAGCACTATTGAAGGGATTGCACAAAGCCATGGCTAGGAGAAATGTTGGTTTCTCGCAAGATAAAAGCATTAAAATAACATCAGAATCATTTGTTAAAAGAAGCAGAAGCATCATAAAAGACAAGGCTAAGTAATACAAATTATGCAATAAAATGTTGCTTTCTTGTTAACAGTTAGTGAATTGATCAAAAGCAAAAGAAATTTGTAAATTATGCAATTGATTAAGATATTTTACAGCTTTCAAACTACAGTACAAGAGAGAAAATGTTTGGCCATTTGTCAGTGTATTTAATTAGGACCTGCAAGTCTCTATCAATATTCTAAATAAAATTGTTCATGTTTTATTAGTTTAGTTGCATTAGTTAAGACTTGGCTTTCATAAAGGAGAACCTATAACTGGTTGTCAAGTGTCAATGGAAGGTTCACAGCAAGACTTATTCTATAGATGTGTTTTTGATTATTCATATGCCGTTGCAATTTTGAAAAGAGGAAAACCTTACCTATGGATGGTGCATGGGTTACACATACATCAAATAAATCCATATACTAAATCAACTGCAAACATTATTTTTATTCAAACGAGAGTAATTCTGACTATACATGGAATAAAAAGGACAAAACAATACTCGCTCCGTCCCAAAATATGAATTGTTTTTTGTTGATTATTTTGTCCTAAAATATAAGACTTTTTGAGTATTTCAAAGAGTAATAAATGATTTTTTAATATTATTTTTATTTACATGAGATACAACGACTACCTTCACAAATTATTTTGATTCGAGATAAAGGGTAATACGATCAAATCACCCTTGATTTTGTTATAATTTAAGAGAATTATTTATTTTTTTAATCCCGTACAAAAACCTTAAACGATTTATTATATTTTGTGAATGAGAGAGTAACATTTAAAAAAAAAAAACTTTTTTTTTATTATTTTCGTGTATAGAACCACCTATATACACCGGATCTAAGAAAAAAATTTCCTTAAAGAAATATTTATTAGAATCTTCTTTAAGTACTGTTATGATCAAAGAAAAAGAGAATGTGGCTTGTAATATGTCAATTGGCGTTTATTCAATTCTAATTTAGCTGTTTTCTTACACTAGCATAACTATGTCTTCTTAGAGCTTTGTCTCTCATTATTACCAAAAAAAATTCTAATTCAGCTGTTTGTTAGGCAAGAAAATGGAAAAAAGAAACTAAAGCATAGTTAGTTGTAGAGGGATGATTAGAAATTGTGTCTCATTTTTATCTTTTTTTTTATTATCTTTATGTTATTTTATGTATCAATTAACTGTTTAAGTTAATATTTAATACTATATTTACAATTAAAATAAATTATTTTACTTTATCTCTTCTACTTAGTTTTTTTTTTTTCTCATTTTGTTGATTTTGTTTTGAAATTGAATAAAAAACTAGAAGAAATTTTTGAATTTTCCTTTTAGAAAAAAAGGAAGAATAGAATTAAAAATATATGCTGAAGAAAAAAAAATGAAAAAAAAATAATGAATTTTAATTAGGTGTAATAACGTTTATAAAATAAATAAATTATCTGTTAAATTTTTTAATAAACTATCTATGTTAACAATGAGAAGGCTTTCTTTGTTTCCCGTAACAATATTATTTCAGTGCATTCGCCTTTCAATTCTTTTATCCCATGTTCGTTCCATTCAAAACCTCTAGATCAAGCTCCGATTCCTATTTTTGGTTCCCTCATCTCTTCTGCAAAGCACTAAACCAGTAAGGTAAGTAAAACCTTCCGGAGTACATTTTCTGTGATGGTCCTCCTTAATGGAGAAAATGAAATCAACAAGATTTTCCTAATTTATTGTCCCAAAGATGCATTTGATTTTTATATGTGTCATGGCGTATTTGCCAAAGTTTGATTGAAGTAAGTTGGATTGCAGAATCTAAAGAAGATGAATCTGTTTGACATATTATGTTAGGTTATTTGGTTCAGTGGTTTTGAAGTTAAAAGATAGTGCATTGGTTTGAGACAATACTAGGAACAAGAAAATTATGATAACCATGTTTGAATAGTAATAGCTTGAGAGGAAGACCATGAAAAGTACTGTGTTTATTGAGTCAAAAAAATTTCACTTGTCAATATGGGTAGTAGCATGCAGACAGCAGAAGGAAACTACATGCAGGTTTCTCGTTTTCAACTTTTCTCTATTTTAATTATTATATTTATTTGCCGGCAGACATAAATAGAAAAATATATAATTAAACGATATGTGAAAAGCCTTACATTATTAATTAAGTATTAGTCTTATTCTTAGGTATGGAAGGATCTGTCCAATTAATTTCTGGTCTAACTAATTTAAGATGTAAATGGTTTAAAATTCTTAAAGTTCAAATCAATTCATCGGATAAACCAAGATACTTCGTTTTCTTCAGACTTTCCTGACATATATATGATAATCAGGTTGCGTGTCCATACTGAATTCAATTATGAATTGATATATACTAATTAATTCACTACTTGGCTAATTTAGCAATTGCTGTTCTGCTCTTTCCAAATCATTTCCAGTTGCCTTGCGAGCAGTCCAAGCATCTGAAAATTGGTGAAAATTTTCTGAAGTCTTGAGAGCTATACTTTTGAAATGTTCAAGGATACTATTTCTTGGTTGAATATTATTATCCTTTTCTTGTTCCTACCAATTTCTTGTGTCACTTGTTTATCATTCAGCTTCACCAGCTTTGGTCCAAGTAACTACCACATAAATTACCAAGGGGATGCATCTCCTTTGGATTCTGTCAACAAGCTTACTCCAAACCTGCGAATTCAGAGAGGTCCCTCGACGTATGTGGAAGTGGAACCAATGCATCTATGGGAAAAAGCCTCCGGAAATCTTGTTGACTTCACTACCAACTTATCCTTCTCCATTGATGCACAGAACAATGCTTCACATGCTGTTGGGCTAGCATTCTTTATTGCTCCAGCGCAGTACACAATGCCTGGTGAAAAGCAAGGTAGTGGTATTGGACTTGCTAGTGGCAACAACTCTATAAAAAGTCCACCGGTTGCTGTAGAGTTTGACGCATACTATAATCAGCGAGACAACGTGGATGGCGATCATGTAGGTATTGACATGAACTCCTTAAAATCTTCAAGAAGTCAGAAATGGTATCGTCGTGTTATGGATAGGAGAATAATTGATGTAAGGATTAGTTACAATTCTAGTTCCAATAATCTTTGTGTTTACTTTGCAGCAGTAGTTTCTGAAAACATCATAGTTGAACAAAAGTTACCAATTTTTTGCAATGAAATTGATCTAAGGATTCACTTGCCTGAATGGGTTACTATTGGCTTCTCAGCTGCCTCAGGACTGCCTTCTGTGTTTGATACAATTCATTCATGGTCTTTCGCTTCAAGTTTTCAATGCAGCTATCAAAAGATAACCACTGATCTCTCTCCTCCACCACCTGTCATGCCAGTTCCCCGTTCTCTTAGACAAGATAAAGATAAACGAGTACAAGTTGTGGTGACAATGATTACCTTCCTCACTGGTGCTTGTGTTTTAGTATTAGTTGCTCGGCTGTACAGGCACCGGACAAGTATTAGTTCATTCATTGTACAGTCCGAGGACAATGAATTCGAAAGAGTGACTGGAGCAAAGAAAATCCCATATAATGTTTTGATTCGTGCAACTAATAACTTCAATGAGAAGCTTGGGGAGGGAGGATTTGGTGTTGTTTACAAAGCATATTTGAAAGATTCGGGCATTTATGTTGCTGTGAAGAGAATATCAGAGAGCTCAACTCAAGGGATTTCAGAGTACAAAGCTGAGGTAATGATCCTTAGCCAGCTCAGGCACAGAAATTTAGTACAACTAATTGGTTGGTGCCATGAGAAAAAGGAAATCTTACTTGTTTATGAGTATATGCCCAATCGCAGCTTAGATTTCCATCTCTTCAATACTGAAAGCTTGTTGAAATGGGGGCAAAGATATAAAATTGCTCGAGGATTAGCTTATGGTTTGCAGTACTTGCATGAAGGATGGAGACAATGTGTTTTGCACAGAGACATTAAGTCCAGTAATGTAATGTTGGATTTAGAATTCAATCCGATGCTTGGAGATTTTGGGTTGGCTAGGCTTGTAGACCATAATGCGAGATCTCAAACGTTATTGGGTGGAAGCCATGGGTATATTGCTCCAGAATGTCTTCAAACAGGCAAGTCTAGCAAAGAATCTGATGTGTTTAGCTTTGGAGTTGTGGCCTTAGAAATTGCCTGTGGAAGAAAACCCTTTGTAGTAAGGGATGACGGGATCCAAATGCATATTGTGAAGTGGGTTTGGGAGTTTTATACAAATGGAAAGCTTCTTAAAGCTGCTGATCAGAAACTACAAGGACAGTTTACAAGGAAGGAGATGAAATGCTTGATGATTGTTGGACTCTGGTGCGCTCACCCGTATTCTTCTTCGCGGCCTTCAATGGCAAAAGCGATTAAAGTGCTTAATTTTGATATTGAGCTTCCAAAGCTTGAATCAAAATTTCCTGGTCAGGTCAACGTCCTTAAAGGTGTAAATAGCAACAGAAGATTACCAGTTTCCAAATATCTTTGGAAGTTATTAGGGCTGAAACAATGTCATGGAACGGGGGTAGGTTGATAGGTCCACGTGGACATTGGTCATCACTGTCAGCGGCAAAGTTAGACTTTTTCTTCTTCTTTTTTTCTTTTGTGCCCGCCAAGTGTATCGTACACTTCTTCGCTCATAAGATGGGTCATTAAATGCAAATTGAGTTGCCTAGTGCCCAAATTTATAAAATTTCACGTTTTACAAAAAAAAAAAAAAAAAAAATCTAATAATATTAAACACTTCGACTTCTAAAATTACACTTACTAAATACTTAAATTTATAAAATCACACACCAAGTTACAGTCTAATATATTACGACTTGACAATAGATTCAAGTTCAAATTTCCCTTTTCTCATACTCAAAAAAAAAAATTATAAAATCATTATATTCATCTTTCCAGTTAGTAAAATTAGATTCATTAAATACTTAATTAATCACTTTCCATAGAAAAAAAACTTAATTCCAAACTTTGATCTATTCTTTTTGTGGCTCCTGAAGTTTGCATGATTTATTTACTTATATTATGTTGAATTGAATATATTTGATGGTCGATTCTGCTTGTGATTCTAAAAGTTTTGATGGTCGATTTTTCTTATGATTTCCGAAGTTTACATACTTTATTTACTTATATTATGTTGAATCGAGTATATTTAATAATATTAAATTTCTACTTGTTATTCCAAGTAGACATTTCATTTCTAAATAATAAAATTTGACTTACTTACATTTAACTATATAAAATTGGATATGTTAGATTAAAATGAATACAGTATTCAATATTAATTAATGATTATAAACAGAACAGAGAAGCCTAAAACTCTATGTTGTTGGACTGGACTAGAAGTAGCTGCAGTTTCTGTTTCAGGAGTCAACTTTTAGTCAACCCATTACACTAATCGTACTATTACTTTGTTAATCAACAGGTACATATACTGAAGTGGGTTTGGGAATTGTATGGAAATGGAGAGCATCTTAAAGCAGCTGCTGAGAAACTACATGGAAATTTTGTAAAGAAACAAATGGAATGCTTCATGATTGTTGGACTGTAGTGTGCTCATTGAAATTAAAATTAAAATTTTCTAATTGACTAAAATATAGAAAAAAAAAAAAGAAATTTGTGAACATAATATAAAATAATTGGTACAACCTACAGTCTTGACCAAGAGAACTAGCTTTCATCTCCCAACTGAATCTAATTATGAAATTAAGACCAAATAATTGGATTGTTTGCATACTTTCCCTCTCTCCTGTGTTTACTAAAAATTCAGAAACAGAACAGACAGGAGATTTTTTTTACACTAGAAAAGTTGTCGTTTTCCATTTAATATACCCACCAACCCTCGTAAGAGCAGGGATTAATTTTTTCTCACCACATATTTTTTCAGTAACAATATTAAATTTTTAAACTAAATTTAATTAATTTATTTATATGTAACTTGTAATAATTATGTTTCTTTGGAATATAATTTGTTCTATTCATCAATATGTGAAACAATTAAAAAAGAACTATGTAAGAGAATTAAAAACTTCACACACATAACTTATTAGATTGCAAAGTAAAGATTTGAGCTTCTTTACAATTTATATTCTTGAACATCAATACGTATTATGTTTACACCATTTGAACAATTTAATCCCTAAGCTTAAATTTAATCATAGTAAATTGTGTTTTTTTTTTTTTAATTTTGCAAATTTGATAAATTATCATTAATCAAATTAATTATTTAATTGACCAAAGACTTATTTTATTCTTTGTAGTTAATAACAAGCTAATAAAACCAGACTTAGAATTATTTTCTCAGTTTTACTTTAGAGAGTACTTGATAATAAATTTTAAAATTAGAATATAATTTGTGCAAAAGAAAATATAGAGTACAATAGAAAATGCAAAAAGGTTTTTTTTTTTTTTTGAACATCAATATTTTTAATTATTATTAAGATCAAAGAGCAGTACATAACAAATAACAGTTGAAGGAGTACTAGTATCCTCACTCCAATAAACCAAACATAGAATTGGCAGGCCTAGCTAACATACGAGGTACTAAATTCGCTGATCTTTTAACAAACGAGAATTGTAATGAACTAAAGTCTCGTATAAAAGACTTGCAATTATGAATTAAACTTGCAAAAAGATTAAGTTAATGCAAAAGAAGCAATCATCATATGCCATCTGCATTGTCAAAACCCGTTGATTTCAATTGATTAGACTTGCATTTTTCAATCCAACAAAAGCATCAACAAACAAGAAGTAAAAATGGAAAGTAAGTTTATTTGTTATATAAATGTACTTATAATGTAAATCATACCATTTATTTATGATTATATTTAATTTTCTCAAATATCTCATTGCTCATATTCACTTTGTGATTCAACAAAACACTTAGAATTTTTATTCCAAAAGAGATATCAATATATATAGGGAAATGCAACATAGATGTGCTTAATCTTCCAAATTTTCAACTCACAGCTAAATTTGCATGTAGCAACTACCTATACCAAATGCTTTTCTTGCATGAAAAATTAAATAGAACTCATGATCGTTTCGGTCCAAATCAAAATTAGATTTGAATTCATAATTTTAAATCAATAAATGATAGGGTGTTAGTAATAAATAACTATGTGATACTTTTTAGACTTGTTCAAATATTTCTTGTACTTCAAATATAATATCAAGAATTGTTGCAAATTATAGTTGCCTTTTTTCTTAATTTGTTATTAATTTTCTTTATCAGGGAAATAAGTCAAATAAAATTCAACTAAATAAGAAACGGGTTAATTAATTTTTCTTTATCATTATTTTCTTATTCATTAATCTCTCAAAAATCACAAAATCTTTATTCAGTAATTTAAAATAAAAAAATATCTTGACTAATAGAAATACCAACATTTGTTATCTTACCCTTTTTATTCGGTTAAATTTGACAATTTTTTATTTTATATAAAAATAAAAATAAATGATTGAAATCGAGTTAATTCTAAAAAAATAAAGATATTGACTAAATCACTGTTTAACTAATGCTCAATCAATTGAGACAAAATTTATAGAAATATCTAAAAAATTACCTATAACAAAACTATAACTAATATATAAATAATAAAAACGGGTGAAAGAAACTAGTAATAATAGACTCTAGTTTACTGAGTTTTACAAAATCTTTAAAGGCTGTGCTGTAGAATGATGGTGAAAGTTTCATTGAAGAAAAATTAAAGGAATCTCAAATCGGAATTTATGAATTTTTATGTTTGGATTTCTATTTTTTTTTTTTTTTTTACTCTAGTTTTACTGTAGTATATATACAAAACTCTTTTAAAAGGACTGGCTTTATAATTGAATGATGTTAAAGTTTCATTGAAGAAAAATTAAAGAATCTCAAATTCGGAATTTATGACAATTTTTAATTTTGGTTTCTATTTTTTTTTTTTTTTTTTTCTCTTATTTTATTTCATTTTAAATTAGTAATAAAATTTTAATTTTTAATAATTTCTCAAGTCTACATGATTCTCTATATAGGTTTGTTATTCAAATTAACTTATTTTTAATCATAATTTTTTTTTTTTTTTTTGTTCTCTTATTTTTTTTTTCAATTTTAATATTAGTTAAAATTTTAATTTTAAATTTCTCATAGGTCTCATGATTCCTTAAAAGTTTTGTATTCATTAATTATTTTTATCATAAAAAATCAAGTTATAGTTGGTATTCAATAACACCATTTTTTTTTTTTTTAGCTTTAAGGAGCTTTTAATTAAGATTATTAAGGTGTCATCTTTTCCTAAAATAAAAAATAATAATAATAATAAGGGGCATGCACCCCAAATTGTTTCACCTTACTACTAGACTAATATACTAGTATAATAGTATAAAAATAGTGTGATAATGCAAATTCCAAATGAAAAACAAATACAATATTGGGCAGCCCTAATTTAATCAATATATACCAAGAATGAAGATGAAGTTTTGATTCAATCGTATTTTATAATTAAACTATCCATAACTTTAGAAAGAAAATCAACATTCTCATTTGCTAAGTGGATTGGAAAAATGAATTCAAATCTCGTTGAATTGAATTTACAAAATTTTACGACCTATATTTATTATACAAGAGAAAGCTTTTAAAATGTGAAATAAGAAAAGACTTAAATAGAAGTCAATTATTGGAAAGCAATCAAAGACAATTAGCTTAATTTCAGTTGCATCTTCACATTTAGTGATGAAAAAGACTCGCTCCCTATCTAAATTATAATTCATTCTAAACTTTCATATGGATTAACAGTTAAAAAAGAAAATTTGAGCAATTTCAATCTATCATCTTTGTAACGTGTTTCTTATCATGACACTTATGAAAGTGACTAATCCAAGTTTTATTCCATTTTAATCTGTGATTTAACTTGCTCCAATATCTCATTATCAGGACAAGATTTCGGCATAAGATGTGCGGAGAAAAAATGTCAAATAAGGATGATAAACACAAGTAAAACATGATTGGCTTACTATGATTTTTTCATGCAATAAGGAAAAAGACTTCAATTTTCATTTCAATTGCTTAATTCTTCGAACTTCTGTTAAGGAGAATAAGAAAATCATGCTATGGTATTCAAAAATCAGAATTTAGTTTTTTTTTAAAAAAAAAAAGTCACATTTTATGTACTCTCCGACCACTTTGAATTTGATTAAACATAACAAATACAAATACAAATTTAACATATCAAAAAGAATGCTAAACATGTGAATCTTTCTCGTCTATCAAAATCTACAAAACAACTAAGAATTTAATATATCAAACAGTTCTTGTCTACAATATGAATTGGCAATTTCCTGAAAAGAAAATTGACACCATATCATGTTAATTCAATCACTTCCTTTCCTGATATATAATTCAAAATGTTAATTCAATCACTTCCTTTCCTGATAATATATAGGTGAGTATAGATTATATTTATTATATATATTTATGGATATAGTAATTAATATAATATATATATATATACTTACTATCAAACTTTGGTGTTTAAGGTGATTGAGATTAGAATTAGAAATCGTTAATTAAGTGTATCAGTCTTTATCATCTTGCCATTGCATCAAAATTCTATAATAATTTATTATAATATTTAAGATAATTTATTGGAGTTATATAAATGATGACAGGGATGTATTTTATATATAATTGAAATTTAAAATATATTTAATGTACATTAAATAATGAAATTAAGATATCAGGGATAAAAATTTATAAGCGGAAAAGTTATCACATGTCAAGGTTTAATATAGTTAAGTATTATAATCCGTTATTTGTGTATAATTTGTGTATGGTATGTAGTAAGTTGTTTTTTTTTTTTTTTTTTTTTATAATTTTATGTTTTTTTTTTTTTTTTTTTTTTTGTAAAAAAATTAGCTTACAATGTTTACCACCTCATGCGTTATGCAACCAAAAATTGTCAACATATCATTTTATGTCATGCCGTGTATTCTATATGGCTAAAATATAACTTAACATCCATGTAAATTTTATAAGGTAAATTGTGAGATCAACTCGTAATTTTATTGTTAACCGACATTAAACACTGTAATTATAAAATTTATATTTATTTAAATTTTATCTTTAGAATTTATTATGGTTTTTTTTTTTTTTTTTTTTTAAAAAAATACTTCATGTTACCACCTCATGCATCAACCAAAAATTGTTCCAACATTTATGTCATGCCTTATTATATGGCTAAATATATAACTTCATCCATGTAAATTTTATAAAAAAATTTGTGTCAACTCGTAATTTTTATTTTAACGCATTAAACACTGTAATTTATAAAATTATATTTATTAAATACTTTAGAATTTTATATGGTTTTTTTATCCAGGTTCAAAGGTTAAATAATGTGTTTAATGTGTTTTTTATCACAATCTTTTTATATGTATTTTTTTTTTTAAAAAAGAAAAACATAAGTTATAAATACTAAATGATTTAACCTTAAGGTTTAAAGGTTAAATTATGTATTCAATATTAATATGATAAGCAATATTAAATATAAACTTGACTATTATTTCAATAATTACAATTGTTTTGTTAAATATCAAATAAATTTATAATTTAATTACCGTAAAATATTTTTACTTTCGTTGAGAATCAAAACAAAAGACATCAACCAACTGAGCTATGAGAGCCATATATATAGTTATAATAAATTATTTAATCTTATTGTACATATCATATATACTTTTTATTTTTAGTTTTGATAATTTACTTTTAACATTTAAAGATTTATTGAACATTTTGATCATATGTCTATTACTGTCAGGTTTTCTATTTAGTCGACAATCACTCATGGTAACCAATTTTTTGTTACTGTAGTTACTGCCAAAAGTCTCACCCTTATAGCACAAATCCCAGTTGATATAGTTGAAAGACATGAAAGCATATTAGTTAGAATTGATAACCTACCAAATGGATCAAAATTGATTGTAGCTCCACATGTCACCAACATCATAAAAAATAAATTAATCCCTTAAATCGTCTCATTTATATACGATTGTATTTAGTTTCCTCAAATATCGCATTGGTTTTGTTGCACTAATGAATATAAAATATTCGCTAAAAAGGAAAAAAAAGCTCAAAATTCTACTTCCATTCCTATTTTTGTTGAAGCACTCGTTCAAAAGACCAAATTAGATTTATCTCCAGTTTATAACTCATTGAGAAAAGAAATTTAAAATTTTTTGTTTGTAATGACATCTTAATTTATAGCAGAAATGCATGATGTGCTTAAGGCACTTGAATCATCCAAATGGTCAACTTTTTAAATATGCATGAACCAACTACCTGTTCTAAATGTTTTTCTTGCATAAAACTAGTCATTCTACGGTCATTTTTTTTATCCACGACACTTTGTTCTGCCAATGACATCAAAATTTAACTAGAACTAGAAATGATGATCAATTAATTTGGTTTAAACAAAAACTAAAATTAGATTTGAAATAGATGATTTTAATCAATTTTGATCTCAAACTTGAATAAATAAGAAACAGTAAAAGAAAGAAAGCCCAACCAAAATCAAACTAGAGCTGATTAAACCAAAACCAATACTAAAATTCATATCTAGATGGCTAAAATCCAAAAATAGGTCATAGTTAAAAATTTAAATATCCAATCAAATTATAAAGATAATTAAAATTTATCAAGTTGTATTTAAAATTCAATTTTCAAATAAAATCAAATTAAAAATACACATGTAAAAATAAAGAATCATGTATATATGTATATGATAATTAATTACTCAAGTGGAGTGTTCCATTTCATTGGATAAAATAGTGAGCTTCAGTATACAGTGGTCCACAATTATATCCAGAAGAGTATGAGGATTTTTTGGTACATCCGAACTTTCCTACCAAGTGAAATTCAATTTTAATGACACTGCCATGATATTTCCTCAGTTATTCGAACATTTTGTTAACAACCTTTCGTTAAACATCCTATGCATCAATTACATTTTTATTATAACTTAGTAAACATGCAAGTTACTGTTATGTGCGCCTTGGTTTTTGGGAAGCTTTGTCTTCGAGGCAAAGCTTGATTACTTTGCTTGGGTGCAAAGTCCTTCAAGCCGACAATTTTTTTTTTTTTTTTTTTAAAAAAAAAAAAAAAAAAAAGTTCCTTCATAGCCGACAAATTTTTTTTTTTTTTTTTAAAAAGAAAAAAAAAAAATCATGGTCTTCATGTTCTTTTTGATAAATTGGAGATTGCAATGGAAGAAAAGGAATTTTTTTTTTTTTTTTTAAAAAAAAAAAAAAAAAAACATGGCTCATTCTTTGAGTTGCAATGGAAGAAAAAGAATGGGTTATGTGAGAGTAGGGCATCTACTCAAGGTGGAGAGAAGAAAGATTTATGAGAGAGTAGGGCATATACTCTCGGTGCAATTAATTGGATATAATTAATTGTAGATATTGCAATCTAGGATTCTAGAGGGGATTGCTTCAGTGGGGTTGACTTAAATACCGGATTTTCAGTATTTTACTTTAGGATTTTAGAGGGTGTTTGCTTTAGTAGGATTGACATAAACACTGAGTTTGAGAGTGGGTTTACTTTCGGAATTGCTTCAGTAAGGTTAGGTTGGCTTAAACATTGGATTTAAAAGAGAGTTTACTCTCAGTTTGATAGTAATTTTTTAGGGTTTATGTGAGCAGTACACAAATATTGTGGGATTTTTGAGTGGGCATAACTTATGGAAAAATTACTAATTTTGTATGTATTATTTAATTCTCACATAGTAAAAAATTTAGCGCTATCCATAAATGTAAACAATTTCTCGAACCACGTTAAGATATTGTGTCTTCTGTTATTTTCTGAGCAGTATTCTATTATTTTCTATTATTTTCTCAGCAAAATTTATTTATTTTATCTTATTGAATTCGACGGGCGATTGTTTACTCGTGGAGCTACCGAGTTTCCGGTAACAGGTTGTACCAGAGCAGGGCATTTTTCCTAACAGTTACTTATCCTTTTCTTCTTCCAATAAGATGATATGATACTTTGGCATATCTCTAGGTATCTTCTTAGCAATGAAGTAGTGCTGAAGTTAAAGCCCTCCACTGGTTCCCCCTTTGTACGAGATGCATGAAGTTGCTTTCTTACTTGAGTAGCCAGCGACTAATAACAAATCGAGGTAGATATTATCATTAGGTATATGTGTAAATATTAATCTTGGAATAGATCACATGCATTGTGGGGAATTAACCAGATTCATACCTTCCCTAACTCAACTCCCCACTGGTCAAAAGAATTGATTCCCCATATGAAGCCTTGCACAGCTACTCTGTGTTCAAAGATTGCCACAACTAAAGGGAATTAACCAGATTCATACCTTCCCTAACTCAACTCCCCACTGGTCAAAAGAATTGATTCCCCATATGAAGCCTTGCACAGCTACTCTGTGTTCAAAGATTGCCACAACTAAAAAAGATAGGCAGCTCTTATCGTATCAGGCCATATAGACAGTTCATGTAGACCATAAAGCAATAGTATGATATTCAAGCAGGACGCCACAGAAAGCACATTTCAACTGAAAGTGATGTCATGCTGGCATTTTGTAAGATAAACGAATATCTAAATATGAATGCTACTTCATCATACTTCGATAGGATCACTTTAAGGAAATTCAAGCACGTAAACACACTAATACCATATATCTCAATTCCAGGATTACTTTCAATTTTCAAACATTAGCATACATCAACCTCTCAATTAATGAAGAAACCACAAGCCTGTCCAATTTTGTAAGCATCTAATGCCGAAAGCAGAATACTGAGAGAATGCCTATTGTCTGAGAACGTCTGTAAAATATAATGCAACAGCTAAGCACAAAGATCTGGAGGTAAAAGCACAAAAATATCAAAAGAGAATGCTGCAAGATTTTAACCTTGTGAGGAATTAGATTCTGTGGAACATTCTCTTTTTGCAACTGCGTCTACAAAAGACCAAAAGAAAAGAAATTTGTGTGCAAAATAAACTATGAAAACATATGTTGTACAAAAAGGAGACACGGACATAATATCTTGGCTCTTTCTATCTTTCTATTCCTTCTATCAGATATGTCTACATCCAAATCATAGGGTTGGCTGTAAAAGAAAATGTAACACGTATAAATAGAAGGTAATATGATTGTAATACGCAGGTTAACAATGATAAAACAAGATTTTCAGTAAATCATAGGGTTGGCTGTAAAAGAAAATGTAACACGTATAAATAGAAGGTAATATGATTGTAATACGCAGGTTAACAATGATAAAACAAGATTTTCAGTAACAACGACATTGATAAGAGAGCATAATGTACCTTCCCATAAGCAAAGGCATCTGGTTGCGCAAAAAAGTTTGAGACATGAGTTCATCATGGTTATTCACAACCTCTCCTGTTGAACAGAGAAATTTCATGTTAAAATCAAAGCTTAGAACCCTGATCCTCTTAAATTTTAAAATTAACCATACTTTCAAGGTATACAGGTTGCTGACTCTTCACAACACCAATAAAACATTTTAATGTAAACATTAAAACATTTTCCAACTCATCAATATGGTTATTCCAAAAGTAGAATGCAAAAGACAAGTTAAATTGAAGATTCAGGGAATTAATCTATAATCCAGTCAATTGAAACTGGAAGGCCCCAGGCAATTGTACATTGTTCAAAGGTTAGTTCTAATGAATGCATAAACTCACCTGATGAATTAGTTGATAAAAACTATAAAACTTGATTGAATTCATCTCATTGAATAAGAAGATAACAGATACAAAAGAAGAAGATAACAGATAACAGGTACAAGAGAGGAACCAAAACAGAGGAAGGTTTCAATTCTTAAAAGGAAGAAAAGAAGAATCACTCTTACGAAACTTGCTACACAAGATGCTCTATATAGTTACAACTAAACTTTCTCTCTCTTCATTTTTCCGTAACAAACTTGTAACCTCCAACCGTTTATGTTATAAATAGGAAGAAGATATACAGTATGTGTTTTGTCATTGCCCTCGTTATCCGTGCGACACCGTTTTCCCTTTTTGTAATCCTTTTCTTTCTAGTATAATGAAACGGCGTCGTTGGTTAATACTAGCCGTTATTAACAACGGCTTCCTTCTTCAAACCACCATCATCTTCAATACTCTGTTACTGCCTTCTTCAAACCACCATCATCTTCAATCCTCTGTTGAAACTGTGCTGATCATTTGTCCCTGGTTCACCACAATTAATTTCACCAGTCTCAAAGGGAAGTGGCGCACCATCAATAGATACCCCTTACCATTACTTTCCATGCTAACTCAAGTAAATTACAAAGGTACATAAGGACTTCAATAGGAAAAATTCATCCTTTTCTCTTTTACCTTAGAGAGAATGAGGCCTCCTGTAGACTTGCCTGTTGAATGTGCGGCCTTTAATGACCGAAATAGTCAAACCTAATCAAACAAATAATTGAAATTTTAATTGGCCTCCTGTAAAGGCAATGAATTAATCTCATAAGCTCAAATTAAATTATAACGACAATATACTCACTATGCATAAAATTTACCAGCAAATGAAGATATATTTGGATTCAATGCATCATCTTTATAACATGTTTCTTATCTTAATACATATGAAAGCGACTGATCTATGTTTTATTCCATTTTAAATCTATGATTTAACTTACTCTAATATCTCATTAATTGTATTTATTTGGTGGTTGGTACAAGATTTGGGCATAAGATATGCGGAGAAAAATGCCAGATAAGGATAATAAACACAAGTAAAACATGATTGGCTTAATATGATTTTCATGCAATAAGGAAAGGCACTTTAATTTCATTTCAATTTTTTAATTCTTCAAACTTCTAATAAGGAGAATAAGAAAATCATGCTATGGCATTGAAAAATCAGAATTGAGTTTTTAAAGATCAAAAAAAAAAAAGTCAAATTTTTTGAGCTATCCATTCTTCGACCACCTTGAATTTGGTTAAACATAATGAATATAAATTCGAATTTAACATATAAAAAATAACGTCAGAAATGAAGCATTAGCTTGAAGAACAAAAAGAGGGAAGGAAAGACAATTTAAGCATACAAACGCATTTCTTGAAACATAAGAGTTTTCTATGTATCTAATGTGCATAATTATCTTAGCCAGGAAAGCAAGAAAAAGGCAACTAAAACATTACAAAAACTTTTGGTCTAAAACTACAGAGCAAGATAACAGTAGAGTAAGGAATGGATGCCCATCAATATCTCTGGCAACTGAATCTTTCTTATCTATCAAAATCTATGAAACAACTAAGAATTTAAAATATGAAATAGTTCTTTCTACAATAAGAATTGGTAGTTTGCTGAAAAGAAAATTGACACCATTTCATGTTAATTCAATGTGGATAAGATATATATATATATATATGTTTCATTTAGGAGTATTAATAGAATTAGAAATCTTAATTAAGTGCATCGTCCTTATCATCTTGCCACCATCAAAATTTATAAAATATAATATTAAGATTCTTATTATTATATAAATGATGATAGTGTATTTTATATATAAATTGAAATTTAAATATATCGATGTACGTTAAATAATAAACTAAGAGATTATGGGTAAAATTAAAGTGGAAAGTATTCACAAGTCGGTTCATATTGTTAAGTATTATAATCCGTTGTTCTCTATATATTTGTATGTGTATAGTGTTTTATTTTTTTTTAAAAAAAAAAATTTAAACTTCATTTTACCACCTCATGCATCAACCAAAAATTGCTCCAACATGGCTAAATACATAACTTCATCCATGTAATTTTTATAAAAAAATTTGTACTAATCCTTAATTTTTATTTTGACCCACTAAACACTGTAATTTATAAAATTGTGCCTATAAAATGCTTTAACTTTTACCAATTGAACACTTTAAAAAAAATTAGATTGATTAAACACTTATTCAATAGTTGAAAAATGTAAAAATTATTATTCCAAATATTGTATTAACCACATATCAAATTAATATTTTTATATAATCTTAAAAATTATTATTATTAATGTAAAGGGTTAAATATTTTCGAGTCCCTAAATTATGACCAAATTAACACTTAGGTCCCTTAACATTTGAATAATTATTTTGAAGGATCTAAATAATGTTATCGTTACACTGTGAGGCCCTTCCATCCAAATTCCTACGTGTACCTTTTTTCCGTTTATATGGACTAAAAAGCGAATATTAAGTAGGGGGTTAAATATTTTCGAGTCCTTAAATTATGACTAAATTAATACTTAAGTCCCTCGATGTTTAAGTAATTATTTGTTTTTCAGCCATATAAATGGAAAACAGGTAGGAGTTTGGATGAAAGGGTCTCACAATGTTACGACAGCATTATGTAGATCCTTAAAAATAATTACTCGAACGTTGAGGACCTAAGTATTAATTTGGCCATAATTTAAAAATCCAAAAATATTTAACCCTAAAGTAAATAGATAGATGTGAAATTACGATAAAAGGGATGAAGTTAAAAGTGCCAAAAGATCTATTTTAGAGTTTAAAATTTCATAAGGTTTTCTTTATCAAGGCTTAAAGGTTAAATAATGTGTTTTTTATCGGAATCTTTTTATATGTAAGTATTTTTTCTTTAAAAAAAAAAGAATAACAAATGTTATAAATACTAAATAATTTAACATTTAAGGTTTAAAGATTAAATTATATGTTTAGAACTTTTACATATATATATATGTAACATCCCTTCTCGGTCCACCCGGTTTTAAAGATTAAATTATATGTTTTAGAAACTTTTACATAATATATATGTAACATCCCTTCTCGGTTTCCACCCGTAAACCCGAATAAAACCGAGACGAGACGCTACAAAACTGGTTGACTGTATGTCCTGTTCTGCTTGAACATCATCCTGATATTGAAACATACTAGAATCTAATATCATGCTGAGATTGCTTATAGTAATAATGTACTGAATATTTACAAGACATGATACTAGTTACAAAATGGATTGGGCCCAACTGTGTGCCTCGTACATGCCATAAAAGAATAACAAAATGAGTTTCTACCCTGAAGACCGAGTCTTCTACAGATGAATGGCAGCAGTTGTAAACGGACCCTCTACGAACTAGTCTCAAAACCTGCGATTTAAACAGGTAACTAGCTGAGCAAATAAAGCTCAGTGGATATCTCAACATAAAACAACAATAAGCACACATATAAGCAAAAAGCATTATGTAAGCACAAGCACATATAATCACACATAACATGCGGCTTTCATTTTACCTTCATGATCTTTCTTACTGTTTATTGTACTGTATGATTCATGCAAGAGCAAGTTAAAATATCTGTATGGCTCCATAAGGTTATAGTGAAACCGAAGTGATAAGATAAACTGTATGAAACTGGATGAAACTGTATGCTATAGGCCTATGGCCCATATATATCATATCCACTCAACGGCCTGTAGCCGGAGCTAACAAACTGTATTGAGGCGCAGATCTGGCTATCCTATTGATCGGACATGGCCTTTATCGACATGGTTTCTACCTAACCTCAATGGAGCATAATGTTGGTTATGGTCAAATGTATAACACAACATTCATAGACAACATCATAGTAATAGTTCATCGCTTTATAAATCATAATGTTCATATGATTTCACATCATTTGCATGCTTGGATGTTGTTTTGATACATGTTCTAATGTTGTCTTTTTATTTTAGAATGATTGGATGCATACAAGTTGAGCAAAGTAATCCAATTGCATAGAAAAGAAAGCCAAAAGTGCAGGAAAAGACAGGTCGCGGGCGCGCCTGTGGAAGTCGCGAGCGCGAGATGCAGAAAATAAGAGACAGTGTGTTATCGGGCACAAGTCACGATCGCGTACTTGAATGTCGCGAGCACGTAGTGTGCCAAATGAGAGACAGTAAGTTTCAGGTGAAAGTCGCGAGCGCGCACATTGAGGTCGCGATCGCGTAATGTGCAGGTTGAGAGTCAGTGAGTTTTCATGCCAACTACGCGAGCGCGCAGTGCAAGTCGCGAGCGCTTCCAGGCCAAGTCAGAGAGTTTGAAGTGGAAGTCACGTGCGCGCAGTGCAAAGTCGCGAGCACGCGACGTGCTTCCAGCCTACGTAGTGCCAGGTCGCGACGCGTTTCCAGCCTGCGCAGTCTGCACTCTTTTGGTCATATCTCTCAATATACAAATCCAATTTGGGTGATTCAAAAACCCATGGATTCAAAAACCCATGCAAAGCTAACACATAGAGGAACGAATAACTCTTCTATAACACTTCCTAATTCCCTCATTAAATGGGGTCAAAATCAAGATGAAGTCCTCCCCTGTTTTCAACATAATCTCAATACCTCCCCTGTTTTCACATCATGTCCAATCTTCTCACTCAACAACAAGCAACATATCATCTCACTAGCAACACACCACACAATTTACATGCAAAGAAACTAGTAAACAACATGAGATATCAAACCAAAACGCGTGAGCTCTGTTCTAGCTTCTCTTTCTTCTACACTCTTTTGAATCCTTCTCCTATACACATCAAACTTCTGATAAACTTATCTACAATATAACTTCAAGTAGAGACTGAATAACATAAAGCTGCAAGTAATTCACTTACTTGAGAGAATTGAGTTGCCTAAATTTGGATGGAGAAATAAAGGAAATGAAGGAGATGAAGGAAGATGAAGATAAAGATTGAAAATGGGAAGTTTGAAAATGATGAATTACGGCGGGGTAAGGTCATCACAAAAATCAAGGATAAATGATGGAAAACTTACTAAATGATACCCTCAATTGTTTCAAAAGGCTATAACTTAATACCCAAGCTTGTTCTTTTAATGCCATTAAATCCTAAATCCTTACACTTTGCTCTTTTTCTTCTCAATCAAAGGTAAGTCACTAATAAACCCATTCTACCCCAACCGGGTTTTGGGTTCAACTCGACTCAACTCAATGCAAGACTCGACTCAATGGCAAAGACATCGACTATGCCAAAGACCTCGACTCGGTAGGATGTCACAATCTCCCTTCCTAAATGAAAAACTTCGTCCCGAAGTTTACCTGTGTTGAAACAACTGCGGATCTGTTTGTCGCATGTTTCTTCAGATTCCCAAGTTGCTTCTTCTGTTTGATGATTTCCTCCAAAGAACTTTTACCAATGCTATTTCTTGTTCCGCAATTCTTTCATTTCTCTTCAGGGATCTGAACTGGTTCTTTCTTCATAAGTGAGATCGACTGAATGTCAATTCTCTTCTGCTGATAACCCACATGTGATGGGTCTGATTCTGTATCTTCCTTAACATTGATACGTGAAAAGACATTATTGATCCGATCTAGGTTGAAGTAATGCTTAGGCATAGGCTAATGGGTCCGACACGGTTCAACAATCTCGTATTGGACCAAAATGAACCTAGGCCCTAGGGCTAAGCTTACCCTTTCGTCCAAACCTTAGGATCTTTTTCCATGGTGAAACTTTCAGAAATACTTTATCACCGACCGAATACTCAATATCCTAATCTCCTCGACCATCTGCAAAGTTCTTTCACTTGCAGAATCTAGCTCGGCTCTCAATACAATGGTAGTAAGGTGTTTTCAACTCTATTTTTATTTTTGCACCTTGTTTTGATAATATATGATGAGTTTGGAGAAGTGGTCTTATTTTTGCACACATTGGAGACAATGTGCTAG